GTAACAAGAAGGCCCGGCTCACTGAAAACTGGCTTATTTGTACCTATATGAAATTAAATGCCGTTTTTATGTGGCTTACCAGAGGGCCTCTAAATTTTATATTTTATTCACAATAAAAAGGACAGCTTAGAAAACCATTCATGTACCACTCTCTGAATGGAATAAAGGTTAACTGACAAAAAAACTGTACAGAAAATATACAAATGCAATGTTATGGGAGATAAGTTCCATAAACAGAGTTTTTAACTTATCTAGAAGAGTGCATGTGAAAAACATCCACTAACTTACAGTATAGCAAGATAAAACTAAACAGCAAGAAACAGAATGTTGCATAAAAATCTTACGGAAATTCTAAAATTTTCGGTTTCTGCAATAAATGTAAAAATATTCAAGGTGTCAGTATTTGGCCTAGCAATGCACTATGGTAAAAAGAAACACTAGCAGATCACAGCTTCTTGGTCATGTGATATTTGCTTTATACAACCAGCAGCTCTTTTTCAAAAGCTTGTCATATTCTAACACATCCACCACAAGTTAATACACAACCATGGTATGAAACCATTTGAGGTTATGCTTTGGAGAATGGCAATGTGATATGACTATTCAATTTTGTTTTGCTCAAGAATTAATCACTGTCTTTTGATATCACTTCATAAAACATTGACAGATTAGAAGATAGAAGTTCCAAGACTAGAACAACACTAGTTTGGGGATAAGAATCCAAAACAATACTGCATATTACCGAGCAAAAATTCCACTATTAAATCCCTGTGTGACACAAAACTTATTCTTCCTTAAAAACAAAAACACACATCATAATTTAATTCACAGCTAAAATTTCACTTTACCTTATGTTCTGCCTGCATGATCTTTTAATGGTACTCAGAAATACTATCAAACCAAAAAAGATACTAAAATCTGGTTTCTAAGTTTCCTTTATCAGCTGAGCTGAAAGTTTCTGTATTGGAAATTACTTTAGCAGTTTTGCCCTAAGAACACTAAGAAGAATTATATAGTACTCAATTTTAAGTAATTTTAAAAAATACACCATAAAAGTGTTACAGAGCTAAAACAGCTAACCAACACTCTCAATGCACTTTAAAAAAGCACCAATAGAAAATTTCTATAAGTACTTAATACATTAAATTCAGAACCACAAGAGACCAGTTACTGTATATTTTAATTATTTGCAGAAACTGGAGTTTAGAAATATTTCTAAAATATTATATATAAAAATTTCAATTTCACCCCTCATTTTTTTCTTTTGGATTGGGGAATTTTCTACTGTAGAATAATCATTGACAGTAGTTACTAAAACAATATATAAGATATAACTGAAGATGACCACAAATCTAACAACTTTTTTTTTTAAATAAAATGAACAATCCAAAGTTAAAGAAAGGATGGCCAGTGCCTTTTATATTCTAACTTATATCTTGAAACTAGGGATATGAATTTTTTGTTTGTATTTTGGTAGCCTCTTCTGTTCCTTTTCTAACCTAACACCATTTTGGAGAGAGGATGAAATAAAATTTGGAAAATATTAAGAACATAATTTTCCTCTAACTGCCTTCTCTGCTGTAAATTCTGGGGCATTTAAAACAGGTAAAGAATTCATGTTTTTAGGAGATGTATAATGTACAACTGTGACACAAGAATTAGTTCTTATCTTTATTTGCCAAGTAAAAGTTGCCAAATATTTCTTCCTATCTCAAAATTTTATATTTCTTTCAATTTTTATTGGCCAATTTAACATCTTTTTTTTTATTGTTTATTTCATTTTGTTCTGGAAGTAAAGGATGAAGACCCAAGGTTTAAGCCTAATAATTGCCACTACTTCTAAAGACACATATAACTTCTTTAGTATTTTTTAATACAATCACTCTGGTAAAGCAAACCTAATAGCTCAGGTATTAACTGTAGTTTTAACTTTCTATTTCTTTAACACATTTGATAACTCTAGTTACTTCTTTTCATGAATTTTCTTTAAAAGAATGTGTGATACATATATACATGCAATTCAGACATACAGTTGCCTGTTTGCATATAGGTTAAACACTTCCTATTTTGTCCCAAATCTGAACTCCAGGCTCTCATTCTTCCATATTGTTCCTGCAGAAAGTTCTTAACGGAATGTTTCAACAACTTCAAATCTCTTTCTTCCAATCTGCCCACTGGTCATTTTCTCTGTTTTAAAAACCTGTGTAGTAGCAAGTCATCACTATTGCAGAGAGGCAGCACACATTCCCCAAAAAAACTGGAGATAAAAAAGTCTGTGCAAAATTAGGGCAAAGCAATATGATGATTTCTGAATTTTTGCCAAACTGGAAAATACAGAGGATAACCCATTTTCATGCCCCTCAAAAACTTCCTGCACTGTGAAATCTCACCTAAATAAACCGGGCATGCTACTGTTATATAAAATTTGATTTATTTGGTATCTGACCCTCATATTTATTTTTAGGTGCTACGGTATTGCACATTTCCTTTTGTGAACAAAAGGCATGCAAATATAGCCATCCAGAGTTTCTCAGAAAGCGCTATGTCCATAAAAATTCTCTCTAACCTATAAATTTGAATTGACCTTGTCCTCATTTGTCCTTGACACTCCTTGAGCCATCTCTACCTCTTTCTCTTCCTCATGTCATGTGGCTAAGAAAATTTACTTGTCACAAATAAACTCACACATTAACTCTGTTCAATAAATTAAGTTTTCCAAAAAGATAAAATCAGAAAAAAAGAGTGCACTAGTACCATTTTCACAGAGGAACGACACAACTTTTCAGGTCCAACTAAATTCAGTTTTACTCCAAGGCTGGAAGGTACATGATTGCTCACACACTAGTAGAAAAAAATGCAGCAAGCAAAGTCAGATGATGCCAGGAGAAATTTACACATGGCCAAAATGATGAGCATATTGACTGGCATTCAAATGTTTCCTTAAATTTCAGTACAACACAAAATCATGAGTCTTAAAAATCACTTAGCTCATCCAAAAAGAAAAAAAATGTCATTTCACCTATGGGAGTGGTTAAAGTAAGTTAGGGTAAGAAAGTCTTGAAGACACGCCTTATCTTTGAATAACTTGTATGTTCACCATATACCTAAGGCATTCAGAAAGAAAAAGAAAAGTACCAGTTGATAGTCTATGTATCTCTGTTTTGGTGCATTTTCTTAAATTTAAAAGAATAGTGTGGACATTTCCCCCAAAATAATTAAGATAGGGATTAGCAGATGAGAGCCGAGTTAGAACTGTTTTTACCTAGTTCTACTTTGTGTTAGTGCTTAGAAGTTGCTTAAACAGGCAGGTGGTAAACTAGAAAAAAGACTTAATAGCAGTAATGACTCACTTATCTGTCCATAGTTTTCTAGTCTTGACACTTCTCACATCACACTGTAGTCAAACAATTTCAGCCTTCTATTTAATGAATTTTTTGAGCAGTTATTAGTTACTGCTTATCAGAATTTCAGTACTCACTAGTGGTTATCAAATAATCCAGTCATAGTCAGGCCTGTTTTCCCAAAATGCAAGCAGCATGTTTTGCCCACTAAAATATGTTCCCCCAAATGACCTGAAAATCAACATCACTTGATTCTTCTCCTCTAATGCTGATGGACTGCAAAACAGAGCACCCACACAAATGAAATTAAAATGTGCACATGATATATGCAGCATATGTCATACATGAATTACACGATGGAAAACTCTGTACTAAGGGATTGACATTCATTTCTGACAGACTTCGAGAGGTGAAATATTTTTAAAACAGAAAAAAGTACCACAAGTTTCTGTCATATTCTAGAGTCTAAGAAGGGTAAATCTTCATTGTCTTTTTGTTTGATCTATATAGTCCTGTGTGCAGGTTACAAAGAAGTTCCCTTTTCTCTGCAGCAAAAGTAGTAAATATTACCATTGAAGAAATACTAGAATAAATAGCCCTAGTTCAATAACCTTACAGGGTTCCAGGTACCACATTTAGGTCAAATTATCAGTTGCTCTGAGGAGATGTTGAAATAAGAGCCAAACGTATGACTGTTAAGACCTTCTACTCCAAGAGTAAAAGAGGAATGGACTATGGACAGAACACTGAATGGTCACAGCTTGAAAAAATGAGTGAAAAGAGAAATACCAGACGAGAGATCTCTAAGTGGGTTTTCCCCCTACTGTTAGCCTAATTATATTTTTCTGCTGACTGGTTAACACTGATTAAATGCTGATAAAGTGACAATCACAAGCATACTTTTAGAAACAAATACATATAGTATGCTGCTATCATATTACAACTTTAAAAAAAGTCTCAAATAAATTTATGAAAAGTGGAAGTCCCTCTTGGAAATTACTGACTGCTTCTTACCCACTCTTAGACCATATGTTATTCTGAAAACTACATAAAAATACTATTTGTTACAGGTGTTAAAAGTAAGGCTACCAGGGTGTCTACAAAATGCCAGTCATCAAAACTATGGAAAAACAGTGCTTAAGTTTAGAAAAATAAGATCAAAGGACCTCAGATGTACTGTAGTGGTCCTTAACTACCTGTAGTTTAAAAGTTTTGCTATATGGTACAGTGTAAAACATACTGAATTATAAGTTCCATAGGGGAAGTAAACATAGAACCCACAACAACTCAATTCATCCCAGGAGTTACCGTTGAAAAAAAACCAATTTGTCTGTGTTCCATAATTTCTAAAGAACAAAACAACAACAAAAAGGGTTTACATTTTGAAACAAGTTCTTCTTTGAAGAGTAAAATTACTTATGCCATTTTAAATTGTTGAAGGTCTACTCAGAAAACTCTAACCTTTCCTGCCTTCAATCAGAATCCTGAACATCAGTAGCAAATTAGAACATCTTAGGTGAATCCACATAAATCAGTGATTTTTTTTTAAAGCATGATATGCCTTAATATCTATGCATGGGAGAAATGAACTGCTTTAAATTTCCATAAAATAAACAAGCCAAGTGATCAGGAAACAATATTCCCATCCCTTCTCTCTTCTGTTACTTCCTCATTGTAATTAGGCAGAGCAAATGACACTGCGTCCACAAAATAAGAATTATTGACAGTAATAATATTAAAAAAAAAAAGGTATGTCAACATCTGAGGGAGGATGGGATTGTAAGTGCAGTATTTCTTCATGTGCAGTTCTTTACTTCATAGGGGTCCCCTTTGGAATGAAAAGGCCTAGTGGAATGTGTGCTCCCCTCGAACAATGTGTGATGAAAACTCATAGCGGTCCTGGCTTCTGTAGCCACAGATGTTGCATTCCAGTGGGTCCCGGTAGCCATGGCAACCCATGTGAATGGTGTACATGACATGGTCTAGGAAAAGGACTCGGCAGTGCTCACACTTGAAAGCTCTTATCTGTTCTCCTTCTCCATTGAAAACCTTGTAGATGTCTTTAAGAGAGCCCTTAGGAGCCTTGGTGGCATCCAAAGCTTTAACATCTTCCTTCATGTAAGCTGGGCTTTGTTTCCTCTTGGGATTTAAGGCAGGGTTTCCTTGGTAGGACTGGTGGTCATCATGACTGCTTTCTGAGTCAGTAGAATCCAGGCAGCTATTGCTGGGGGAGGCCTCTCTTTCCTGGGGTCGACTCTTTGGTCTGATGAGAGAGATAGGGCCATCCATGTTGTTTTCATGACTATCAGAGGTTTCCCTGCTAATGGGTCTTTCTATCCTATTTGGATGATAGACCTGAGAATAAGCTGAGCTTATAACTGGGGCCACCTCAGCGATTGTGCTTGGCGGGTGCTGCATCAGAGGGTGAAGGGCCTCAGTTCCAAGGTAGGTGATTGCATTGTTGATGGCTTGGTCCATCATATGAGACTGCATCAGCTCAGCCTCCTTCTCGTACGTTAAGTTCATATCAAAGTGAATATCTGGGTAGCCGAATCGCATGAGCTTTTCCCCTAAGACACAGGGC